CGAAAAAGAAGCAGCGGTTGTGGTCGTTTCCCTGGTGCCAAGCTCAACGAAACTGACCACAACCACTGCTTTGTTTCTGCGGGCTGGAAGGCGGCAACAAAAGAAAAGCAGTGGCTGTCTTCGTTTTCACGCCCCGTATGGGGGGGGGGCATCTTTGCGAGGACGGCGGAATGGCGTGAGCCTCCAGCATCGATGGGGCACGGCGAGGTGGACGTGGTGGGACACCCCTTGTTCTCCGTCAAGCAGCAGTGCACCTGTCAGAGAAGAGACACAAAAGTTCCCACTACTGGCCCGCAAGAAATCGGCCACTATTTCTGCCACCGTGCCTTCTAACTGCCTGATAAGATTAGTGCAACTTTCCAGGAACGACTCTCCCTGCCCACGATCACCGCCATCCCTGGTAACTTCTGCTCCCTGGCGATTTTTCAGTGTCGACCCCTTCCGAGACGGTCCTTGATGCTCTCAGATGGCGCAGGAGAGCCCAAACAGCCCTCCAAAAGAGCCCCGAGAGGCGCCTCCAAGATGCTGAGGAGGCCTGAGGCATTGAAAAAACGTAGAGACTGGCCAACGGTTTTTGCTCTCCATGCTTCTCTGCCAAAGCTGGCTTCATCTGAGCCTCAGAGAGTACGAAGAGGGCACCAACGAGGAACCTCCAAGAAGAGCGACGACGGTTCCAAAAGGATCCCAAGATGGCTCGCGGACCCCAGAACAGCGCCCAAGACAACTACAAAGCAGACGGCCTCGAATCCCCAGAAGCCAGGCGTCAAGAGGAGACAAGCATCCCCCATCACGCCCTCAGGAGCCCTCTCGCAAGACCCTGAGAGGCAGCAAGCATTGACACAAGTGTGGCTATCGATGGCTGCGGCCTCTCAAGCCTTTGGTGCCTAAGATAGCTCCACGGAGCCCCCAAGAAGACCCGGTCGGCCCGAAGAGAGCTCCAAGATGCCCGTACCCATCGATCGGAAGAAGTAGGTAGAAAAATGAAGGACGAAGGCGTTAAAATTAGATTGGGTGTCCGCCCGCCCCCTAAAAAGGACGGAAAAGGTGACGCCACTCGATCATTGAAGTAGGAAGGCGCTTAAAATAGATTGGAATCTGGAACTCCAAAAATACATACTTTCAACGACCGATGGGTATATGGCCCCTCCCAAAGCTTCCACACCGGTTCCCGCAAACGCTAGAGGAACACGCGATCCGCTAGCGTGGCTGCACCTCCGCTCGACATGTGACACTTCACCACACGGGCGTATCCAGACGGCAAACAATGGCCATTACTCGCAGAGGGCAGCTTCGATCCGAGAGAGGAGAGTATAGTCGGACTCGATTGGAGAGGACAAGCGAGAGGACACAAGACCCTTCCGAGGGCCACGTTGCCACAGGAATGCAAGAAGCATGGGTCGCGAGACACAGGACACAAGAGTACCCTTGATCTGGCAGGGGTATGACCCAGGGGGCGGGACCACGCAACTTCACGCCCTCTTGGCCTTCTTGGCCGCGTCCCACGACTGAGGGGCGCCCTCGGCGCAGTTGATCCTCTTCGGAGTGGTCGTGGGCGGCGGGGGCGGAGGCGGGGGCGGCGGGGGCGGCGGCGGGGGCGGCGGGGGCGGCG